ATTTCTAATTGTGAAATCAGAAAAAAAAAAATCTGTGTTTATGGATGACTTTGCTATCCTTAGAGATGTTTAAGTATTGTGGTCAGAAATTTTGATTAATTCCCTTGCTAATCACATTTTATCTAGAACTAAATGGGAATATTCCTGAGAGACATTAAATTAAAAATGTTTTTTCTTGAGCAAATAGCTGGCCTAATTTGTACAGATGTTGTTGATTTAAGGAACTTTTGATTTCTAATTTGTTCATCAATCTGTACTCATTAGAATCTACTGGGCACCATTTTCAAGTATTAAAATATTGCAATAATCATTTATAACTTTTAAAGTCACTCTTTCAGCAACTTTATTCAAAACACATTAAAACTGAAGAGAAAGCAAAAAATCTGAGTAGCAAATTAAATGTCACATTATTTACTAAAAACATGAAACTTTAAAAAAAAACTATGAAATTTACTCAAAGCACAAACCTTCACACAGAGCCTACCTACTCCTGCTTTATCTAATAATCCTGCTTACCTAGTTTATAACAATCTAGCTAAAGCAGTTTAAAAAAATAAATTAGGAAAGACAAGCTGCAAGTAGAAAGAGAAACAGCCACATTAATGACATGTGACAGCCAACAACCTTAATGAAGCCTCAGTGAAGCAATAAAAAGCGGGCAAACGAAAAGGTCTGTCAGTCCAATTGGAAAGATGCAAATATCAACACATTACAGATAGCAAGGACCTCAAGATCATTCATTCATCCAACACATTTTTTTAAGTCCCCACTCTCATGGAACTTACTTTATAATATAATATAGGTAGATTTATAATATCTTTGTAAAGAAACTACTGTTATCCTGGTTTTACAATACACGGAGACCTGGAAGATTCAATACCTTCCCCTGGATCAGACAACTATGAGGTTGTGGAACAGGGACTAGAGTCCACGTTTCTTTGAGTCCAAAGCCCAAGCAAATTCTTTTCATCTGTCCATTCCATTCATCATTTACTCCAGCTATTCATTTATTCAGTAATTTGAGTACAGCAAGCTTGTTCTAGATACTAGAGGTATAGCTCCTCATGGAGTTTACATGTATTGTCCTCAAAATTTATGTATTTAAAAAATGCACAACATTCTAAAAGGATCAGAATTGTATTCACAGAATCCCAGAGTGTAAAAAGAGAGCCAAAGATGAGTTTCTTAAGGGAAATCCAGTTTGAAATGAGAGGTTTGTGTTTGCTGCCTCACTGAATGCAGCCTTGGGCAGGCCACCAGGAGATGAAGTACTTGTTCCAATAAGAACGCCCATCATCCCCAGCTCAGAAATGCAGGTTCCTGTGTTCTGTTCTCTTCACATCTTTTTATGTCAAATGTTACCATTTTGGCATCTTTATCTCTTAATATTTTCTGATACAATGCACATCCCTTGCCAAACAACTACAGAATAGGTTTTTCTTGTTTCCTAGTAGGGAATGACTTCTGTCACGATATTTTTCGTTCTCCCAAAAAAGGGCCTTTTATTCAAAATAACAGGATATTCTCCAGCTCTCTGAGGGGTCAGGCCTCATGTGGTCCAGATAAAAGCAATCACGCCCTACCACCCTCCCTGCAGGGGATTTGCAGGGGGTGCTATGGTGCCATATATGCTCACTTATCAGGAACAGGACCACTGCTTTGCCTCACCAACCCTCCTGTCATATGACTCGGTAAACTGAAAGTACCTACTGCTTAGGAAAATATCTAGTGAGCTATCCGACAGTATGTCATCTGAGGTTAAGAAAGCAAAAGAACATGGCTTACTAATGGAACTATAATCACATACGTTTATACGTGCATGTTCCAATGCAACGTCCCCCTTCCAACATCACTCTTCCTTCCAGTGCTTTGCGACATAACTATATCTAAGTAAAACTTTTTTAAAGGAACTTTAACAGTATCTACTTAACCGTAGGGGCAAGTTTCAGAAATTCCAAGCAAAGTTGTCATCACCTAATTCAGCATACATTCACTTAGAAGAATGACGTTACAAAGTAATAAAAATTTATCACTTTGTTTTCACTTCCATAAACACTTCTCTTTTTTTAAGATTTTATTTATTTATTGAGAGAGAAAGTGTGCGTGTGCAAAAGCAGAAACGGGCAGAGGGAGAGAGAGAGAATCTCAGGCCGACTCTGTGCTGAGCGCAGAGCCCATGTGGGGCTTGATCTCACAACCCTGAGATCAAGACCTGAGCTGAAATCAAGAGTCAGACACTTAACGGACTGAGCCACCCAGGCACCCCCATAAACACTTCTTTTTTATAAGTTTAGTAAAGTAGCTAAATTTTGTTTTGTTTTGTGTAAAGATTTTATTTATTTGACAGAGAGAGACACAGTGAGAGAGCAAACACAAGCAGGGGGAGTGGGAGAGGGAGAAGCAGGCTTCCCGCCGAGCAGGGAGCCCGATGCGGGGCTCGATCCCAGGACCCCGGGATCATGACCTGAGCCGAAGGCAGACGCTTAATGACTGAGCCACCCAGGAGCCCCTAAAGTAGCTAAGTTTTTACTTTGTTTAAGAAAAAAGAAATGGATCTTCCTCTAACATATTGGCAAATGTTAAAAAGCTGTTAAATCGATATACAGTGCTCTGTGAACTAAAGAATACTCTGAAATGCCTGCTAACTGTAACTAGCACTCTATAGTAATGATAGTAGTGGTGGAGGAGGAGGTGGTGGTAGGGATGCTTGAAGGTTAATGCTTGTGAAGCAAAATCACAGAATATCCCTCTCCTGTTACTTAAAAGTGAAATAAATAGGAAATTTACCAGCACCCCCTAAACAATACAAGGAGAACATCTTATGCCACTCATTTTAATGTGCCAAGGAAAGAAAATTCTGTGCAGTTTATTCCAGTTCTAACTAAATGTTTCTCAAGAGGGCATTTGGAGCGGGACAATTCTTTGTCCCATATACTGTAAGATATTTAACATCTCTGGCCCTTCACCTAATACCAGTCTCATTCATTGTGACAACCAAAATAAACCCAGCCACACATACTTCCAGACCTCCCTGGAAGTGCTGGAGGTACAGAGGGAAGCCACATTACTGACTGAGAGGCACCATACCTAACCCCATCCCTACATTCCAAATGTATACGGAGACAAGGTGAGTCAACAAAATCCTGATATTTCTCCAATTTGAAGAGAAGATTAAAAGATTGGGTAGGTAATCCTATTAGAATAGAAAAAAAGCCTCAAGAATAGAAGCCTCTATTTTAAAACACAAGATCTCAAGAGAGACGGAAGTTGTGCAGAATGTGTACTCTTCCAGAATACTGTGATGACTTGAGGGAATAAGCAGAAGCCCAAGGGTATGGCTACTTCCCCAACGGAAAGGAATGAGCCTTATAGAGGACATTTAACAGGATTTTAGACTGTAGTACCCAAGATGCTTGTATCCTATCTGACACAATCTCAGCACTTACTCTCCGCCACCTCCATCCCATCAGGCTAAAGACGTATGGAGACAATAACATTCAGTCGTCAAGCTTGTAGCACAGACAGAAAGGCAAACTGATTTCAGATGACAGAATCAAGAATTCACTCACACTGTATCATAGCAAATAGCTGGGTTTAAACAGAGCTGTCCAATTAAACACATGTAATATGAGAACATATGGTAAGGCAATTTTGTAAACCAGGAAGAAAAAAGAAAAAATATGATATATATGTTATATATGTATAACATATATATATTACATATATACATTTATATATATATATATATTTTTTTTTTTTAATACATAAAACACATGAAGAAACTAGTCTGAGAAGAAACACAGCCCAGGAAACAAAAGTAGATTCTCTAAAGGACAAAATAAGTATGTGATTCTAATAAAAAAAAACAAGATGATTAAATGGTAGAACATTATAAAAGGGAAGATCACAGGGCTAAGGAGAAAAATGAGAAAAACAACTACACAAAAGAACTCACAAATCTAGTCCAAAAAGAAGCAGCAAGAAACAGAAGAGATGTGACTTAAAATTGATAAGGCAGAGGGGAAAGATAAGGATATTAAAGCAATAAAAATAAAAAGCTATGCTATTAAGAACAAGCATAATTACTTATCATAAGGAAAACTGATGTCCCAAATGTAGATCATCTAACAAGAAAAACAACAAATAATAAGTAAATCTAAAAGAAATAGATACTCAGAGATACACAAGAAAAGTCCCTTGAAATCAATAACTGAGGGGTGCCTGGGTGGCTCAGCTGGTGAAGCGACTGCCTTCAGCTCAGGTCATGATCCTGGAGTCCCAGGATCAAGTCCCGCATCGGGCTCCCTGCTCAGCGGAGAGCCTGCTTCTGCCTCTGACCCTCCCCCTTCTCGTGCTCGTGCTCTCTCTCTCTCTCTCTCTCAAATAACTAAATAAAATCTTTAAAAAAAGAAAATGAAAAGAAATTAAGAACTGGTTCTGAAAATCAAAAGGATATGCCATACAATGGAAAAAATGGAAGTGGAGCTACTGACATTGAGATACAACCTGGTTACATTATTTTACTCATAAAGGAAGAAGCCTGTGTGCTCAGGCTACTCACATTCAAATCAAAGTCTAGTGCAGATATGGTTGAGTGGCAGAACTTAGGGCACACATTTGTACCCTGGCTGCTCAAGAGGCTGGGAAGTAGATTTTCTGGATTCTTCCTGGGCAAATGGGATATTAAAAATGTGGAAAACTAACAAAATGTAGAGAGAGTGTTATAAAGATATTAGCCATCTGTGCCAGCCAGCTGGCTGCCATGCTACATAATAGCAGCCACAACAATAATATGCTTTTCTGTTCAACATGGGGCCCATGGACCAGCAGCATCAAGGAAATGGTGAGTGCAAAATCTTGGACTCCACCCCAGGCTGACTGAGAGAGAATCCGCATTTTAAGAAAATCCCTCTGGTAATTCCAACATGTAGCAAAGTTTGAGAACTGCTGCCAGTGTAAGAAAATGCAAGATTTTTTCATACAAATGAAAATGCACTCACCTCCCCAAAAGGGGAAATTCAGAGTCTCATCAGTTCTTGCATCCAGCTCCAAGTCCAAGATCTCTGGGTGATGTTCTCCTCTCTAGTTCAGTCATAATCTTGTCCTGATAGTCCACAGCTATGCACTTAATGAAGTAAACCATCACCAACACCCTATATAGAGTAATAAGGAAATAAGGGAAAAGGGTGAATGAAAAAAATAAAACTAGTTAATACATATAAATATAATAAACATGTTATATGTTATAATCTTTTCATATTATAATTATATATTATAGTATATAAAAGCATACTATATATAACATAATTATATACATATTAATATAATTATATACATACATCCAAGTTCCCTTGCCCTCAGCCAGCACCTGAGCTGGTAGGAGTTCATTACCTGGTGGAGTGCCCCCAATTTTCTTCCTGAGAGATCTAGCAATTAGTGGTTCTGCCTGTGGGAGGCTGTTCCAGTATTCCATTAACTTTATGCCACTAGAAGCAATACCAGGAGGTGTCTAAAAGATTCTTTAGATTCTAGAAATACTCCTTTTCGCCATCATTGCATAACAGCAATCCTCTTACCCTTGACATTCAGGATCAATCATCCCAATCTACTTGGTATAATCCCTTCTTGCCTGTTTCCCCCAATCATAAGGAGCCCCAATTACCACATCATCAGTTCAGCTTCCAATTCAATGGGACCATTGTGTTTCCCGATGAAGCATTTCTCCTTTGACCTCAAAACCAGCAAAACTCAAGGTGGCTAGGAAGGAAGTAAAATTTCTCTCAAGTGTAATAGTAAGTATAACAGTGAGAGGTACCACTCCCACTTTCACCCTTCATTTTTTAGACCATCCATTCTGGCTATGGGAGAAACCATTTATTGGTCACTGGTTCAGAGCATGTGCCACACTCCTTCAGCCACAAAAGAATCTTCACTAGGCTGGTCTACATTCAGGATAAGACCAGTTGAGTCCTTTAAATTCAATCAGTGCCTTATTTCTTTGGTGGTAAACTGAGTTCCTTAGTCAAAAGTAGTATTTTTTAAGATGGCATGCAGTGAAGAAGGTATTCAGTAAGTCCACTGGTGATGTACTGACAGAAGTATAGTGAGAAGGAAGAGGAAATGTCTCCTTTCACACATTTTGTTACACAATTACATAATTATATATGTACCCATTGAAAATATATGTATTATATTGTTTATGTGTGGAATCACTGGATATATAGTAGTAGGCAACTTGGTTCTTTTTTTCTCTCTATAATCTAGAGACTGTAAATACAGATCTGTTTTATTTTATTTTATGCATTTGAGAGAGAGAGCAAGAGAGAGAGAAAGTACAGGCAGAGGGAGGAGGGGCAGAGAGAGAGAGAGGAACAAGCATGTCCCCTACTGAGCAGGGAGCCCAACATGGGGCTCAATACCAGGAGCCTGGGATCATGACCTGAGCCAAAGGCAGACACTTTACCAACTGAGCCACCCGGGCGCCCCAACACAGATCTATTTAATTCTTTTTAATTTTTCTTTGTGTTCCACAATATAGATGCATCATAGACTATTTAGCGATTTTCATATTGTTTCCTCTTCTTGGCATTAACTATATGTAATGAATATTCTTGTACAGGCCTCCTTGAGTTCATGCACAAATGTTTCTCTAGGGAAAAGCCTTAGTGAAAGTTATGGGTCACAATATATGAATATTTTCAATTTTAGAAATATAGCCCAAATGCTTTATATTCTCATGGTGGTAAGTAAAAGTATCCATTTCCCTCATACTCTTGGACAACTATGTTATATTATCAAACCATAATTTTTGCCCATCTAATATGTATAAAGGTTATCTTGGTTATCAGAATGCATGTCTCTGGTTGAGTACTTACGTTTGTTTTCTTATGTATGGTCATTTACATTCCCTTTTCTGTTCTTATTCTTTGCCCATTTTTATTGTCTTTTAGTTATGGATTCTTATTATGTTCTAGATATTAATCCTTTACATATCTTTATTACAAAAATTTCTTCCAAACTTTATCTGAGCTTTTTTATTCCATCTTATCTTCAAAAGTTTTTCTTCTGATGTTATCAAATTCCTTTTGGATTTGGATTTTAAAAGAAAAATCTAATTTAAAATGTTTTCCCCACATGGGGCGCCTGGGTGGCTCAGTCAGTTAAGCACTGGACTCTTGATTTCAGCTCAGGTTATGATCTCAGGGTTGTGAGATTGAGCCTGCATTGGACTCTGCCCTGGACATGCAGCCTGCTTAACATTCTCTCTCCTTCTCCCCATCACCTCCCCTCTTTCTCCCTTAAAAAAAAAAAAAAAAAAAAGTTTTCCCCACCACAAAGAAAAAAACATATTCTTGTATATTTTCTTTTAATATTTGTTTGTTTTTCCCAATTCTTTAGATTTTTAATCTGAAATTATCTTTATGCATAGTATGAAAGAGAAATCTACTCTTTTTCAAATGGCTAGTGAATTTTTCCTGCATTGTTTATTGAAAAGTAAATTCTTTTCCACTGATTTAAAATGCCACCTTTTTTCATATACTGAATTTCCATATATACATGGTTGTATATTAGTCTATTTGTCTTTTACTATCTGATCATCACTATGTTAATTTGAAAAGATGTTCAATTTAATCTTCTCTTTTCAGAAAACTTCCTATTGAACAATTCTATTATTTGACGCAGAATAAAAAAAGTGGCATCTATGGAAATGATTCTTTGTAAGTTTGGGGTTTCTTTTCCTTATATTGGACCAAATAATGTTTTTAAGTGAAAATGAGTTATATGAGAAATAAAAAAGCCCCAAAATGGGATCTTTCAGAAAAAGTGTTCCTTTTTTTTTTTTTAACAGAGATCATTAATAATAGAAGCCAAGACCAAAGAAACAGAAATAAAATAAACCAAAACCCACTAAGAGTTTGTGGAATTTAACAAGAAAAAAAATACAAAATATGGAATAGTAATGTTTGAAAGAATTCACACAAGTCATCTGGGTCCATTCCTCTGCCTTTGACCTAGTTAATAAGAATCTGTTAAATTTCTTTAAAGGTTCATAGGAAATGCCCCAGCGCCCTCAGCAAAATTTTTCATCAGGATCTTATGAGGATAGAGGTTAATTATGACAATCTACAAATAATTTGTAATAAAATTACTCCCTAAGTCTCCTTTTTGGATAAGGAATACTTTTTAATTTATCCTTTGCTTAGAGGAATTATTTTCCAGTATATTAAATTATTTTTTCCTCTTTGAAATAGCTTGGTATATATATTACAAAAGCATACTTTTTAATTTTCAGATAAAAATAAAACACTGACAATACTAAAGTAACAATGAAAATATCACTTCTTTAACTATTAGAACTGTTAGGAAAGTTTATAGGAAGGAAGTTAATATGGAGTTTAGCCACAAGAGGGAGGCAAGAAGACATGAATTTTGTGGTTGCTAGGCTCTGTTTATCCCTTTGGGATCAGTAAACTTCGAAAAGTAAATGTAGAATGCAGCAGTAAAATAATGGACTGGTTTAAGTCAAGGAACTAGTGTCTGAGCATTTTTAATTTTTATTCAACCTTTCAAACTTTTAATTTTTAAAATAGCTTTCCTTTAAATTTGTTTTTTCCATTTTGAATCAGAATGCATTTTAGGTATACACTTGTCAATATCATAGCCAAATTTGTCACATGAGAAAAATTTTAGATGCTGATTTAACCTATTTAATGTTTCATAGCCAACTCAAGACCCCTTGGATTCTTCATATTCATTGCCCCCCCTTTCCCAACTCAACCACAAATATAACTGGAAGACATGTTTTGGGTCTTTTTTTTTAGTTCCAAGCCTACACACCTGGAGTCCAAATAAAGAAAGATATAAACCTCTTAAAATTAATGTGAACTATGTATTTATGATACACTGTAGACTCAAAAAATTATATAGCTTATGTACCACTTTCTAAATAAACATACAAATATTGAATAGTATATTCCATTTTATGGATCTTTGCTATCAACGGATAACACTGTATTCATTTTTCATGCCCGAAATACTTCAGAAATATCCTCACAGGCTGAAACTAAGTGTTGAATCCAGTAAAAGCAGGTGACAGTCCTTCTCTAGTGTGGACTTTGTTCCTGGGCTTCAGTATTATTTCTTGGCAGGCAGGGCTCAGAGTAATTAGTATATACACAACTTTCAAATGAACTGAGTCAGAAAAGACATGGCTCCAGGAACTTGTTTAGTTTTGTTCTAGCCTTTCTGTCAACTGGACAATATTTACTATCATGAGAGATCAGCAATCCTGGGCAAAAGGACAAAGCACACAAAGTACACACAGTACTTATGTATCTTGTCCACCTGGCCACACTCAGGTCACTTTAGGTCATGTAATTGTACCCATACATGGTGTCAGGCTGCCTCCAAGCACTCTGGCAATTGCCTGATTATGAAGGTGAATGTCAATAAGAAGCAGAACCATATTATCATTAGAAGCAGTCAGTCCTGCACCTGCACTGCAAATAGGAAATGCAAAATGAGTGGCGAGTGGGACTGAAGTCAGATGGATCAACAGAACTGAGTTATAAGGATATCATATCTCTCTGTCTGGTCAATATTCAGTGTTCCAGAAAGTCAATCAACAATATTAAAGACACTGTAGTTTGAAAATGGGATACATCATTATTCTTAAGCAAATTTCCAATAGGAATGTATGCTTTAAAAAGTTCTTAATATAAATATAGGATTTATTTCCTGTTTTTATTCTAGGATGCCCAAACCACCTAATTCAACAGTAGGGTAAGTATATACTTACATTTTCCTTCCCTGTTACAATCAAGAAAAACATATTGGCAATCCATATGTCTCAGACAGTGTGAGGATAAATGTGCCTTTTCATGAAAGATTTTTTTTTTAACAAGTGAGAGAAGAGGCTGGTATTATATACCCTGCTAACCTTTTTTTAATAAACTTTTTAATTTAGTACAGTTTAAATTTACAGAATTATTTGAAAAATAGTACAGAGTTCCTATAGACCTCATACCCAGTTTCCCTATTAACAACATCTTATATTAGTATGGTATATTTGTCAAAATTCATAAGCCAATATTGATGCATTGCTATTAACTAAAATCCTACTTTATTCAGATTTTTTTAACAAAAATAACCT